CCCCAAAACCCCAAAACCCCAAAACCCCAAAACCCCTTTATTATGGATCTAAATTGGATGATTTCAAAGTTCAAATATGTTAGCCTACTCCTTTTTAAAGCGGTTCATGGTCCCACCTCCGTTGGACTTCTTGATTTTGATCCTGGAATCTTGATTCTGGCTCTTGAGATTCATATTAGCATTCTTTATCATCTCTTTGTTGTTGACCAAGAATAGTATTTTAGCTACAGATTAGAAGAGGATTTACCACTCAGAGAATCAGCAAAGCTTGACTGATTATTTACAAATTGACTTTGATCTGTAGATAGAGCATCGACCAGAACCGAAGATCTTTCAATAGTTGGCTGAGGGAGCTCGCTCATCAACTCATGGATGATTTCACGTTTTAAACTCTCAAACTGCTGCTTATTCACTACAAAGTGATACCAATAATTACAATGCACTTCATTTGATGGCTTGATTCTGAAATCTGAGCTATCTCTCTTGGGCACTTTTTTGTCTGGAGAATTATTGCTCATCGAAAAATCTAGAATTATTATGTATCAATACTCTCTAGAGTCCGTTGCTTTCCAATAGATATATTATTCTTTCTTGCTAGAAATAACCCATAGAGTCTTACCTGAGGGAGAAGGACTAAATCCTGAAATTGACTTATCAGCAAGGTTCATTCCAGAGTTGGATAGATCATTTGCATTTCTTCGAGAATTCCCTTTCTCAAGAGCAGTTACCTTAATTTCAGGCGTTCTTTCAAGCGGAGAATTCTCATCTTCTGAATTCTCATCTTTCTTTTTAGCAGATTTCCTCTTCTTAAGTGATTTATTTAGATTTTAGAGAGTCAGAAGAGTCTTTAGAGTTAGAATTTCTTCTATCTAACTGACTCTTCTTTGGAGAGATACTTTTTCTCACACTCTCTGAAACATTGCTAACACTTTGGTTATCCTGGTCACCTGAATGCATATTCTTGACCCTTATGCTGAAGCTATCATTTCTGAGGAATTTTACATTAGCATCACTAAGCTTTGAATTTGCTACTTTTATCTCTGAGTTCTCTGATCTCAGAGCTTTGATGTCTTTTTGTAAACTGTCGATCTTGCTTTGTAATATAGAAACTTCCCTTTTTCTTTGCTCTGAGAGATTTTTGTAATTTTTCTTAATAATTTCAAGTTCTTCCTCAACTTCGTCAATTTGATCAGCTATGAATTATCTAAATGAAATTACAGAAGCCATCATCGCTTTCATCAAGTCTTATTTTTGGAACATTTACTGATGTTAGTTTCTTATGGAGTCCTGTATTAACCACTAATTTGTTGCCTAGTTTGATCTTTCCACTTTCTTTTTTGCTTGAGAAATTTTCCCTCATAGTCATAGAACTATTGATATTATGCACTTTTTTGTTAGATTTGCTTGATAATTCTATGATTATAAGCTTATCATACCCTTTATCTCCATTTTTAGATGATGGTTTTCTTTATTTAAGCGCAAGTAAGCTCTTTCGTTGGTCTTCTATTTCTTTGGCAAGGCCCTCAATTTGATCTATGGCTCCTTGCTTTTCTCATTCTGCAATTTTTCTGGTCTTTTCTTCGTATTCAGCCTTCTTTTCAGCAGAAACTGTTTGTCTTTTGAGATCTTCTATTTCTTCCTGGAGAACCTTAATCATTTCTTGGTTTTGTGCTAAAATATGAGAATTTGAATTTACTCTCAAAGTCTTCAAGAAGGTCTCATTGAATATTTTTGTCGTCAATCCTTCCTTCGGCCTTTGCTTTGTTAAAGAGCTCAAATATTTTCTTAGCAATGATCATTTGATAATTCTGGATTCCTTTTTGTATTTCTTCAAAGGAATCTTGTTTTAAACGAACACTCTCTCCTGCCTTTGGCTTGTTTATACTGTAAATTTGCATAAATTTGTTATGGTCCTCTGCATGTGTAAAGTTTAAGCCTACCGAAGATTTGTTGAAGAACGGTACTGACGTTTGTAACAGATGGCTTTTCTTGAGTAAGCTTCTCATTTTCCATCATCTTCTTAATTGATTCTTCAATAGTTTCACTGTTGATATAATCAGAGATAGCCTGGTTTAACTCTTTCTTGTTAGGATATTTCTTGAGTTCAGCCATATTCTTATTAAGCTCCTCAAGTTCTCTCTTGAGATTCTCATTTTTATTCTCTAAATCTGAGATAACCTTTGCAAATTTTCTTTGTTCTGCCATTCTCTTTGATTGGGAATTAACTTGATTGGCTCTAATATTTCAACATACTTCACTTACTCTTGATAATGGGAAATTATTTCATTTAGCTCATTGACCAGCTTATAGGTAGTTTTTGACAAGTCAGGGAAGACAATCTTGAGGCTATTGAACAGCATCGAGAATCCTTTGTTAGTCATGATCTGTTTCTTCCTATAATATATTTCTTCTTCGGGAAACTTTATCCTGTCAATTTCCTCCTCCTTATTCTTCCAGTGCTGTTCATAATGTTTGAAATTTATTTTGGTATTATATTTTGCGGATGATTTTAAGACTTCATTTACTTTGAATAGTAACTTAGGGTCTATAAGCTCACCTACTCTTTTAAGGTTAGGGATAGCTCTTTTTTGCGTGGAATATCCCTGATTTGATCGGAGGACTGAGATATTGAGGGATCGCTCTCCCTTTCTATGAGTTCTAATGTCATCGTTGATCTTTATTTTAGAATTATCATTGAAAAATCTAGAGCAGTTTGAAGTACTAGAAGCTCCAAAAGTGTTCGTCATTCCTTGAAGTGCATGCGTTGAGCTCATATTTACTGGCTTAATATCCTCGTTCACAGAAATTGTAGTCTGGTTTGTTTTACTTTCTTGCGCATAAGAATTATTTGCAACATCAGTTGTTTTATACATCGATGGCTTTTCTACATATTTTCTAGTAGAGCTTGCTCCTTCACGTCTCTTTTTCTGATTCAAAAAGGGTAAGAAAGATTGTATATTATCTCCTTGCTCTATTATGCTCTTAATAGATACTTCTTCAGGTTCAGTATAGCCGAAATTAATATTTAACTTATTTTGATCTTCTTGCACCAATTGACTTTTGAGGAGAAATAGTTTGGCTCTGATATCTTGACTTTGACAGTATTTCGTTATTTGATCTTAATACTTTTACCAATTTTGAGTCTGGGAGAAATTTTGATTCAAGTGCTCCTTCGCTCTCACTATGATCTGACATTAATAATAATACTTTCAATAAGTTTTAATAAACTTGGGGTTTTGGGGTTTTGGGGTTTTGGGGG